TTCTATTGGTGGGCGGGGATTAGAATCACAACTTACGGATGCTGAATATTGTTGCATAATTCGCTATTCTCGTTAATTTAATTAAAGAACTTAAAATAATTATGATTGAAACATAAAAGTCACTTTCTATAAGCAAAAACATTGAAAGATTGTACGTTGAATGATTTTTTTGTGGTCATTATAATTTGTATGTTCCCGCCCACTTAATGACTCGCCGGAAGTCGTATAATGGGATTCCCCAAACACATGTTTACATTTTGCAAGTTGCTATATTTGTTCACTCAATGGGTCAGAAAAGAATTGTATGGACTCGACTGAATATCTCCGCGTTGTTCATTAAATTTCTGATATTTCAACGTAAGTTAAAAAAAAAATGCTTTTGTTGCAATATTGTACGACTCCATAGCCAGAAAAGCAGCAGTGAACACTCGGAGTTTCAAAATAAAGTTTCTCTTACGGAAAATATTTTTTTACGCAAACTGTATCGTAAAAATTGATTATTAGGTATTTTATAACCAGTTGGTATTAATAACCAACAATAAATGTAGTTAACCTGACAATGTCAATGTTCTGAAACTTGGTTGTCAACAAGAACTTCGAAAAAATGGCGACGGCTATTTATAAAAAAAATCAGCACGTTTAAAATATTAATGCATTGCGAAAACAAATATTTCATCAATGAAATTCAAGTCAGATATTCTTATGAATATCCTTTATATATTGGATACAAATTTTATTAAGTCTGATACAGACATTTCTTAGTCAAAGTGTTTCAACTGAAGTACTACACAGAGGCGTCAAAAGGCGTCATTATGGAGTAAAGGGGGTGGCGTCAAAAGGCGTCATTATGGAGGAAAGGGTTAACTCACATGTTTTGTCTTTTTTATTTTTTTTATATGTACTTCTTGCCAATCTAATGAGTCAAGTCAGCCATTAAAGAGCATTAATTTCCTGTTTGGATGGATGCTTAGCACTCCTATCTACATCGATTCAAGCCATTCAAAGCAGACTTTTACATTTTATTCCTCGTTTTGTTGTCTATTTAGATATAGGAAGATGTGGTATGAGTGCCAATGAGACAACTCTCCATCCAAGTTACAATTTATAAAAGTAAACCATTATAGGTCAAGGTTCGGCCTTCAACACATAGCATTGGCTCACACCGAACAGCAAGCTATAAAGGGCCCCAAAAAATTACTAGTGTAAAACCATTCAAACGGAAAAACCAACGGTTTAATCTATATAAAAACGAGAAACGAGAAACACATATGAACTACATAAACAGACAACTACTGTAATCAGATTCCTGACTTAGGACAGGTGCAAAAATTTGCAGCGGGATTAAACGTTTTAATGGTACCAAACCTTCTCCCTTTTCTGAAACAATAGTTTAACATCACAACATAGAAAAACACATTTGCATCTTTGCCCAAGTTTGTGTTGCTCAGTCTTAAGTTTTGTATATTGTGTTTTGTATACTGTTGTTTGTCTTTTTTCTTTTTCGTTGTTTACCATTGCGTTGTCAGTTTATTTCGACTTATGCGTTTGAATGTCCCTTTGGTATCTATTGCCTCTCTGTGGGGAGTAATGTGTGCTCATAATCATAATTCACACAACAACAATATGTATGTTTCTCTCCAAAGTCAGATGCCTATTATTCCGTGGTTGTTGTTGGTTGCTGTCTATCATCTTTTTGTTTACCCTTTTAGCATAAATCAGGCCGTTGGTTTTCTAGTGTGGATTGCTTCACATTTTGTAATAACATGCATAACAAGATGACCTTTTAATATTTACTATTGGGAAGGGGGGCATATTTATTTATACATGTAGGATCAAAATAATTCTTTTGGACTTAAATTGTAGGCAAACAAATTTTTTCATCAACAAACATGCAGGATCATTTAATTATTTTGGTAACTCAATGGATTTTTCCCCTCTAATTTTCATTGGAAGAAACTTTTATTTTCACTTCTGAAACCAGACTTTTCAAGACATTATGGACAACACTCTTATTTAAAAAAATAAACTCATGTGATCCCTTTATTACACACATAAACTATGAATGGTCATTGTCTTACATCCACATCATTTGGACTGTTGAAAAGTTGTCACATTGGCAATCTTACCACATTTCCTTATTTCATTATTGTATGCAAAACAGTCTACAGAAAGATCTTTAGAAGACTAGCATTGAGAAGAGGTAAACAAATAAGGATTTATAAGGACCTCCTTCTGAATATGCATGAAATATTTGCCACTGGACATGAAACAAACAACCAATCAATGTTATGGCTATCTATTGTAGATTTTGAAAGATATGCATATATGTATGATTCATGTTTTACAAATGAATTGAACCTTTCCTTCATCTTTTTTCTTTCAAATCTTCTGTGTATCTAGAAGGAATGATGCAAAGAAAATACCTAACCCTGGAGAAGGGGTTAGCTGAATTCTTTCAAGTTAATGTATTGTTATTTCTGGAGGGGAAGGGGTTTGCCTTTATAGGAAAAAACCTAAATTGAAATAATGTTTTTATTTTTTATAAATTCAAATTGTGATGAAACGCACAGCAGGATATGAACATAGGAAAAAGTTTAATACCCTTCTAGATTTCAGGATTGATGTTACATTTTCGAGGAGACTTTACAAAGAGAAAGAGGCATATGCATAATCAGCATGTTGTTAACAATAACAGTGTCAGTGTTCCATTGAACACAACTAAAACCAGATGCAAAATGGTGTACAAAAATGTAATAAAAAGAAACTATATACCACATGCTATTATTTTCATATTGCCTTTTCAAACTGTTATTTATCACTACTAGTATACAAAAAGGTCTTTGTTAAACAACTTCACAAACATCATAGATTTTCTTTTAGAAACAAGATATCTGATAACTAATAATGCATTTTCTAATTTGTTGGCCTAAGCACCTACTTTTTAGTCTGATTATTGGGCCTTATTTGGATGCTAGGAGCACACATATGTTAAATCTTTTTCAAGAGCAATGTTGTGATAAAAAGTTTCCCTTTGTTATCATCCAAAATATCTAACTGTCAATTGTTCATTTTTGACTTATTATACAGGATTTCAGTTGGTTGCTATGAATAGAAACTGTTGCTAGGGAAAAGTAATGTACAATATTATTTTCCATAATATATTCCAATATATGAGTCATCTTGATTAACCTGTATAAACCTTATTTTTAAATATTTTCACCAATTTTTTTTTTAAAATTCAAAATTTAATCACAATTTTCTTTGGTTGCTACGGAAATACTTCCATGACTTCTGTTGCTATGAGGAAAAAAATTGACTATTTTTAAAGAAAAATAAAGTTTCCATTCAGATTATTTATGTACATTCAATTCTCTCATTGTTTTCTTAGAAACAAATTGATATTACAAGATTAAACCCAAAATTTAACCATTTTAATTATATTTTGATAAATCTGTTACCATGGCAACAATATTAAAAATTTTTTTTTTAGTAAATTTTGAAGATCTGACTTAAATGGATAACTGACAAAAAATTTCAAATGTCTAACTGGTCTATTAGAGGTACAGTTAATATTTCATTAAAGTAAGCATATTTTCAACATTTTAATGAAAAATCCTATGCAAATCAAGTATGTAAAAAAAAAATTTCCATGGAGGAAAGGGTTGAACGCTCGCCCGACCACCCGACCTACATCCCTAAATCAATAACCGATTTTTCCTTCGAAATCCGGTTAAAAACTTAACATTGACCAATGAACCATGAAAATGAGGTCAAGGTCAGATGAAACCTGCCAGACTGACATGTACCCAATACAATCATTCCATACACCAAATATAGTTGACCTACTGCTTATAGTATTTGAGAAACGTACCTAATCACGTAACTTTAACCTGGATCACTGATCCATGAAATGAGGCCGAGGTCAGGTGAACTCTGTCTGATAGACATGTAGACATTGCAAGGAACCCATATACCAAATATAGTTATCCTATTACTCATAATAAGTGAGAAATTCACATGACAAAAAAACTTAAAATTTTTTTCAAGCTGTAGCTGAACCATGAAAATGAGGTTAAGGACAATGGACATATGATTGACGGAAACTTCGTAACATAAGGTATCTGCATACAAATATGAAGCATCCAGGTCTTCAACCTTCTGAAAAATTAAGACAAATAGTTTACGCTGCTGCCAGATAGTAATACCTATGTCTCGCATGATGGGACTTTTGTTGCAGGCGAGACAATAAGATACAGTTGTTCGTATCCATGTTTCTTAAACTAACTACTTAATAATTGATTTTATTTTTTCAAAGAGGTGACGTCTACTATTTTAATCCATGAATAACATGTTATTTTATTCTCTTGATGAATGCATAAATTTGAAAATAAAATTAGTTAGTAGTCTTTTAAATAAAAATGTCATGAAATATTAATTTGAATAAATTTGCTGTCATTATATATATCCTTTCTAGAATAAACCATAGAAATAAATTTTAAATAAATATTTGTATACATTATACATGTTATATAGGTACGTACAACACTAAAAATAAATGCAATAAGGTTATTTTAATAGTTCATATGGTTAAACAACGTTCTATTTCAAGTTGGAAACAAACTGACCAAGCAACTTGGGACAAATTGGAGTTGGAACTAATCATCAAGATACCTACTGTGACTAAAATGACCTATGCCGCTATGGCCAAACTGGTTTTGAATATATACCTTAAAAACCCGTAACCTTTGGAAGCTCATCAGGTAGCACATACCTGTCTATTGTTTATATCTGAATATGTTGTTCACCTGATAAAGTTGTGTTACGTTTAGTTTCATTTTGCTCCTTTTTATTTATAACGTTTTAGCAACAAGTGTCCTGCCTCTTAAAGTCTTATGAATGAACTATTCGATTTGTTGCAGCATAGAATATATAATTAATTTAATATATGAACATGTTCTACAAACATATTTCACATTTGCATTTATATGTGATTAATTTACCTCCAACAATGGCATCAATAAACTTTTTCTCAGCTTCACTCGGCATTTTCTTTTCATCAGCTGCCATGATTGATAATCTCTACTCCTACTCTACTTGAATATAACCTGAGATAAGGTATAGTCTTGCTTCAACTTTATGAATGCATAGCATGAAATATGTATACACTTGAATTATCTTTCTGATTATTTTATTTAAATTCTTTGTGTGAAGATTTTGTTTCCTAGATAATCATACAGTTCATTTTATAATAGGGGTGTTTTTTGAAATTTAAAATCATTTAACATTTGAAAAAAAGAATAACAGTGTTTGTTTCTTACGGTTCACATTGAAAATACACTTTTCTAATTAATATTTTACAATATTTTCACACAATCACAAAAAATAATCAATCTACTAAAAATCACATATCACCATTTTTTTTAATAAGATCGTCCATTAATGGCGACGAAATACAGGACACAAGGTGACGGCACATTTTAAATTAATATTGCAAACAAACTGATGGTTGATATTCAAGTATACAGTGTTAATCATACGAGTTAATGAACTTACTTAGGGTTACAATTATATGAAAAACAATTGCATGTCACAGTCTGTGGAAAGACTAGTGTTGGCTGTTGTGTCCACCTCTGGCTCTGGATCATTTGATTTAATTATAGATTGCAATAAGAACAATAAAAGAACACTTATTGTTCCAATTAAGGATCCTTGATCTCAATAGGTAACATGACACTGACATCAACTTAAGTCTTTCAATAGTTTTAAAAAGAGGATTAATTGGGAAAACAGTCTATTTGTGAGGGGTGTTACTGTTTACAGTTGAATCATGTGCACTTCTTCAAATTTTCCTTTACTTAGTTTGGCTTTGTGGCTTTGAATTCTAGAAAACTTTTTTGCACAGTAAAACTGGATATAATAACCCAACTTGTTCCCTACTGGTGAAAATCTTAAGACATTATCACTGTTTTATCAAAACACCATGAGAGCAACCAAGCTTCTCCCTGAAACTAGACAGGCTACAGATTAAAAACTTTAAATTTACCTACATTAGCACATAGAAGACGTCGTGGCGACATGATACAAACATTTAAGATTTTGAAAGGATTTGAAGATATACCATATGAAAGATTTTTTACTGTTTTGACTTCCAATACTCCTGGACACAGCTTTAGACTTATAAAGCCTCAATGTAATTCATCATTTCGTTTTAGACATTTTTCCGAATGAATTATAAACGATTGGAACAGTTTACCTAAAAATGTTGTGTCTGCAAAGACCGCTGATAACTTCAAAATACAACTTTATCATCATTGGGAAGATGTTATGTACCAGTTCTAGTGATAAATTAGACAATTATTTTTACTTCAAATATTTATTGTTTCTTAATATAAGTGGATTGGCATTAGGAAGAAATCAAATACCAGTTCTAGTGATTAATTTAGACTTTTTTAAATATTAACTATTTAGAATTTGAATTATTCATCGACCAAGAGTGACCCATAAAATGCAGAATTGTTATAAGTTTAGTTTTTAGTACAAGTACGAATTTGGGTGGGCTAAAAAAGGATTGAATTTCCTTACATATGAGCCTTTAAAAGATTCTACGGGTACAGGGATTATACAGGTATTGTTAAAAAAATGAGAAAACTTCAAACAGCAACCCATTATTGTGTATGCTGTCTGCTTGATTGCATGTCCTGATTTTTTTAACAATGTACAAAATGTATCTTTTTAAATTTGAAATTGTATGTTTTGCAAAAATCAATATTTATATAAAAAAAAAAAATTAAAAATACTATTCTCCCCATACCTCAAATAAAATGGAAAGAAAAAGGTAAAAGTAATATTTGGTGCCGAAATGACTCTAATTAAAAATGTAGGTGCTGATTTGACTAGATGCTGAGATGACCAGTTGCCGATTTGACTTTTCTTTTGGTGACGAATCGACAAGGTGCCAATTTGACTTGTACACTTTTTAATGAGCTCCATATTGAATGACTGATTTAGTACTTGCGTGATAGGTCTAAGCCCCTTTAATTTGCATTTGAAAAATGTAGATGTTTTGGGAGCTGCAACATCTGAACTGTTGAGGTCATATAATAATGACTAGCTTTGTGACATCAAATTATACAGGAACTTCTGTGATGTCCAGTAGTGGCAGACAAATAGTGATAAGGTGTATACTATGGGGTAGGGAGCTGAAAAGTGGTACATGATTTTTTAACCAAGAAAATACCAATTTTTATACGACCGCAAAAAATATTTTGTGGTCGTATATTGGTATGACGTTGGCGTCGTCGTCCGAAGACACATTAGTTTTCGCACTCTAACTTTAGTTTAAGTGAATTGATCTCAATGAAATTTTATCATAAGGTTCAATACCACAAAAGGAAGGTGGGGATTGATTTTGGGGGTAATGGTACCAACAGTTAAGGAATTAGGGGCCAAAAGGGGCCAAAAATAAGCATTTTTGTAACTTCCAGACATAACTTGTGTGTTAGTGTATGGATCTCTCTGACATTGTACCACAAGGTTCCATATCACAAAGGGAATGCTGGGATTGATTTTGGGGGTAATTGCCTCAAAATTTAAGGAATTAGGGGCCAAAAAAGGGGCAAAAAACAAGCATTTTTATATGGACAAATACTTTAGTACAAAACATAATTTAAAGCAGTGTAAGGGAGATAAATCAAATTCATCATTAGAATTACCTCCCTTACACTGCTTTTAAATTATGTATAAAGTAATGGTTAATGAACAATTAAGACAATTTAAAACAGTGTAAGGGAGGTAATCCACGTACAACGTTTTGATTACTTCCCTTACACTGCTTTTAAATTATGTTTAATGAAATGCATATTTATAAAGGAAGACCAGTAAAAATATCTGCAAATGTTGCATCTTTTTTTTTTTACAAAAAAATCCATATGAAAGATTTGACACCATATTTTAAATTCTATTATCAGCTGATTATAAAATAGATTAAGATAGCACTATGGTAAATTTGAATGGATAATTATGGTTGCAAATTCCATTGGAAATTTGAATTGAGATTATGACCATATCTTGAGGGAAAGAATTTTTTGGGGGAAAAGGCAAGGGGGGGGGGGGTTAAAAAGAAATTGTGGGGGGTCAATTTTTTTCATTTCAGATTTCAGAAATTAAAAAGAATTATTCTTCAAATATTATTTTTTTTTCAAATTTCAAATATTGAAAAATTTCAAGAAGTAATCTTTAATTGCACAGTATGGCTCATTAGATTTGTCAAATCTTTGACCACATTTATTTATTTGTTATGCCAAATCTGACTGTGTATTTAGATTTTTAATTTTGGGGTCCAGTTTTCAAATTGGTCTACATTAAGGTCCAAAGGGTCCAAAATTAAACTTAGTTTGATTTTAACAAAAATTGAATTCTTGGGGTTCTTTGATATGCTGAATCTAAACATGTATTTAGATATTTGATTTAGGGCCCAGTTTTCAAGTTGGTCCAAATTGGGGTCCAAAATTAAACTTTGTTTGATTTCAACATAAATTGAATATATGGGGTTCCTTTATATGCTGAATCTAACCATGTATTTAGATTTTTCATTTTGGGTCCAGTTTTCAAATTGGTCTACATTAAGGTCCAAAGGGTTCAAAATTAAACTTAGTTTGATTTTAACAAAAATTGAATATATGGTGTTCTTTGATATGCTGATTCTAAACATGTATTTAGATTTTTGATTTCGGGCCCAGTTTTCAAGTTGGTCCAAGGACACAGTTATCGTCCTTTGGTTTTCGTTGTCTACAAATATAGTCCCTAGTGTGAACAGTGTATAACTTGCATTTTTTTTTTAAACACTTTCCCAATTTATTTCTTGATATTTTATGCATGAAATATTAAGTAAGGGGATGAAATTACATGTTAAAAAAATTTGGGTGCTGAATCTTTATGTTAAGTAGTGATTTGGTCCAGTTAAAAAAGGTCAAAAATTAGAATGTCTGAAGCTGTCAAACTGAATTTTAGCCCCCCTTAACACAGAACTGTCAATATTTTAAGTTAGAGCTGGTAGAAGTTTCTATAATTTTGATATTATTTGTATCAATAGTAGTACACTACACTGTAAAAATCTTTTTGAGATAGAGCAGGTGCGATTTTTTTAATTTGAATTTATTGTCTAAAAGAAATGCACTACGAAATAACTGTGTTCTCGGGCCTAAGAGATGAATTCCGTAAATGTAGATTCTGTACTTTGGCAACTTTCCTGAATGGTTTGCTGGTTTCAATTTGTCAAACTCAATAAAAGTAAAGGATTTACATCTTTGTTTGACAGAAATTCTGTTAAAATGTCCCATTTTGGCATTATACGGCTAAAATAAGCATTTTAAAGCAGTTTCCATTTTATGCATAAGAGCCATGCTGACTTTCTATCTGACAGCTTTTTATGTTCCTGATATTTGTGTTTCTATGCTTAAATCAAATTTAATTAACCATTTGTGAACTCGAAATCTAGAAAAAAGTAGATTATCACAGAAAAAATGTGCAGAATATTTGTATCTATGTCCCTGGTTAAATGGCCTGTTTGATGTATGTGAAATGTGAAGAGCTTTGTACATAAAATCTGTAGTCCATCACAAATATTTCACTAAATCTGTAAAAAAAGCACTTTACAATGATCAGTTCACCCTATTCATTTCATATGCTACCATAATTTTCTTCTTTAGGATAGTAAGTGGTTCAAATATATGCCAAATGAGACTAAAACTACATGCAAGTTTTCCATTGAAAAGTGAAAAACTGGTCATCAGACCATACTGTCTGCCAAAAAAATTTAAATTCAAGAGTCCTTTTGCAATTAGACTTCTTGTATCATGACATCTTAGCATAGAAATGAGCAAAAAGTAACAAATTTCAATTTCTTATAGCCTCTGTGTGCATTTTTATATGTAAATATGGGCTACGGCCTAAATCGTCTCTAAATAATTCTCAGTCTTACATGGCCTTAGACCATTTTATACTCATGTGGTATGCTTTTTGTAACTTTTCTTTACATTTAAAGTACATTTAATATATATGGAAGAATAATGTATGGTTAAAAAACTTCAAAAACTTCAAATTGGTTGAAAAAAATGCATGTTTATGTAAGGCTTCCCTTAATTCGAAAATCTCTATTTTCAGGCACAGGCTCATATAAATTTGACTTTTGAATAACTGTAATAAATCT